CTTCCATCCAAAGTCCTTTTCTCAGTTCATTCTTTCAGCTGTTAGTGTCCTACTAACTTCTTATTCTGTTGCTTTGTTTTGATTCTTATTTCATTCTTCCGTCAATACTTCTCTGTGTCATTCTTTCCTTAACTTTTTTCTCGCCAGATTGTGTAATGTTCTCTTTTCATTGGGTTTCTACCTCACTTTCTCTCTTCTTGATTCGCAATTTTCCTACATGTTCAAAAATTTATTTCTTCCAAATTCTTTCCTTATTTCCTTACTCACTCCCTTCCTTCCAAAATATCTTTATTTCGAATTCTTTCTTTGTTTTTTACGGTATGTCAGACCATGAGGTCACTAATTCGATGGCTAAAATATTTGGGCGTTTCCATAAATAGAACCTGCTTCCATCCGTTTAATCGGTATGTCCGGTTGCTTCCATATGGTTGTACTGTTACATAGCAGTGTCGCAGTGGCCGATTCATGGTTATCTGTTGGAAATCTTCCAGTGAAATTTATATGGCCATCGAGAAGTATTTTTTCAAACAACGTTTGCTGTGTATCTTATCGCAGACGTATCTTCAGTTGTAGGGTGCATTCATGCTTTAACTGTATGTGTATTTATTATTACAGGCCGTTTGAAAGAGTTATAACCCTCACAAAAGATAACGCTGGACACTGCGGCTTCCTGCACAAGGACGGTTGCATCAAAAGTCTTGTAAAAGATTCTTCAGCTGCAAAAAATGGATTACTTATTGACCACCAGATTTTGGAAGTTAACGGTCAGAATGTCATTGGAATGTCTGTAAGTTCGTTTTCAGGTGTGTTTGCTAATCTTCATCATTTGAAAACTTTCTTGAAGGATAAGAAATTGTCAGCCGTGTGCGACAGTGCGGGCGATGTGCTGACGTTAACCATTATTCCTCGAGAAATTTACGATCACATTGTCAAATGGTACATGATTGCCGTCGTTCGACAGTTTTGTCATTTTTGCCTTCGTTTAGTATGTCGCTTCATCTTGTCAAGAAACACATGGACCATTCTGTCCCAGACGTCTGTTGAATGATTACTGACACTCTTTTGGTGTTAGTGGCAGATGATGAGAGAACAATGAATGGAATGTGATCGTTGATATTGATGAGGCAATGAACAGTTTACATCATGTTACCGTTGTTCTGTGTTCTTTGACTGCCGATGCAGTTGTTTTAATATTGTATTATGCTGTATTCCCAAATGTAAAGATGGAATTCTGTTAAATACAAATGTACATATATTACGTATGGTTTCGCCTGCTCTAGATATGAATATTTGATGTCATTTTCATGTTTTGGTTCACACGCTCGTCCGTAAACTGTAAGGCTGCTTGGCATCCTATGTGACTGTCTCATGTGAACTATGCGGTTCGTGGGCTTGGCCGTGTCATTCTTTCGAAAAATCCCATGCGCCCTAAGTTCGAACATTTCTTGCTAACTCGTGTAAATGGCGTTAGTGCACAGTAAATTTTAGGTGGTAGCTTCCCTTTCAACAAATCTGGCAAAGAAAATCCCGTCAAATTTCTCCGTAATTGCGACACGTATGCCCGTTGTGACAAGTTCATTGCAATACTGTTTATCCAGTTGTAGATACTTTTTGAAAAATAGCTAGACATCTAACTGATGGAACAGAAGAGACGACCGACCGTTCTGTGCCATGAGTTCCATGTTGGTGGCTGCCGCAAATCGTTCCGATAGTTGAACTGTTCCGGGGATCAACCAAGATCAGTTGCCTGCCATCTAATATTTTCTCGTCGGATCTCGATTTATGTTCCAAAACAAATGTGTCTACTTTAGCATTGTGCCTCAGTTTCCAATGCTTACTCTTCATATGAATCCTTTGGGTGTCAGTGCCTACGGGCTTTTCGTCGATTTCATTCATATCTGGGCGACTGTCATAAATAAGTCTTTAAACTAACTCTACTATATTTTGTTTGACCATGTGGACTACTGATCCCACTCTGTACTGAAAACTCACAAGTGTAGTTCCTGTCGCACATTTCGAATATGTAATAAATGGTTTTCTTATCACAAAGTAACGCAATCAAGAAGAATAAAAAATCAACAGAAAGGAAAAGCACGACTTCCTATCGCTCACAACGTTGTGAACTGAGACTATACAAAATAATTCTTTGCTTCTAGACGGACTTTTGGAAAAAATTGGTAAGGGTGACTGACGATGTAATTATCTGCGGTATTGAATGATGTTAACCATGCCTCTTGTTCCTGAATGTAATGACAGCGTTTCGGAACATTGCATATCACTACATTTTGTTGTTGCTTGTCGTGTTCAACTTTTTGAGCGGATCGCGTAAATAGAAATTATCGTGCATTCAATGTCTGCTGCGTTCTCAATTATTCGATAGTGAACCGGTTAGGACTTTATAAAATAAATAATTTTTTATTGAGTGCAGGAATCCCTTTACATTATTCATCTATTGGCACGGTGGTTCGCTAGTCAACGTTTCCTGTCTCAAATGCTCCCACAACTTTTGACATTGTCCTGTGCTACAGATAAATGAAACAAAGGAATATTTTTAGTCTCATTTTTGAGAAATATTGTCTTTAGTCACTCTTAAATCAGTGTTAGTATGCGTTGCTGTTTGATTTGACAGCTACAGGACGTACTGCAGTAACTAGGAGATGACTTCTGATCTCCTGTCGGGTTCAGATATCCTGGAGGGACAAATTCCCTTGAGCAATGAAGTAACTAATACGTTGTTTTTCGTGCAACCGGTCTAGAAAAAGGCAACAAATTGGTAACTTGCTAAACTAGAGACAAGCATGATATTCTGGTCTGGTCGACATGGAATTACGTGCACGGTAATGCTGTCCGATGGAAGCAAACAAAATGACTGCGTTTTGCTTTGAACAACCAGATTGCTAGTCGTCAACCATAAGTTTGCTTATAACGGAGTAAATTTATTCGTTTTTGTTGATTTAACTTACTGATATTTACTGTAAATAAAATGCCACCGTCTCACTGAAAATCGCCTTTTAGTGAATTTTGTATCGGCCATTTTTAAGTGGTTCCAGTAATAAAACAGTTTTTAAGTTTCTGTGTGGCATTAGACAGTTAAATTAGAATATTTTGAATTTTGATGCAGAACGTTTCGGTAGTTCGAGTAAAGGAAGGAGGCGAGAAAGTTTGCAGATTCCCAAGACTATTCTTCTGTTGCTCCTTTTGCCTGTCTTTGTGAGGAGTTGTGGTTTGAAACTGCACTCTGTAATTGTAAATATACGATTTCTTATGAGTATGAACTAAAAATGTAGCAAAAAGTTTCATTTTACTGCTGTTATCTATGGCGGTGTCAGCAGCTATCTCTATCATATTTGTATACGTAAAATTGTGCTAATTGGAAAATAATTTCTCCAAGTGGATAATAACGCATCTTGCTGAGGGTTGCCCGTGCTGAGGTGCCACGGCACCATTGTAATTAAGGACCTGGGATCAATTTGATCTCAAGAATAGCTTCATACTCATGAATGATATTTCAGACTGTCGGCTCTCCCTCTATGCTATTGCATAAACCTCAAAATTTTTTCTTAACCTCAGAGTATGTTAAATGGCGCACAACTCCTCCAAAACCAAACGTGAAGGCGTATCTGTGAACTATTACCGTATTCTGATATGTGCTACTATTAGACAGTGGTGGTATTCTATACTAGGATATAACCGTAACTGATTATAAAAATGTAAATAACTGTTATCTTATATATATGGATATTGTACCAGTTTGCAGTGCGTTGGCTTATCAATGGTACTATTATTTTATATGGTAGTGTGATATGCATTCATCGTCAAAATCTTTAAAGTATTTTTAAAAGTGGATCTAAATCGATGCAAAACGTCGGAAATTTTTTTAGAATAAAACTTGTGTAATAAACCCTGCGTTGAAAATTTTGGCGATAAAAAACTTTGGAAACGCATAAAGAATTCAGCTTATCTCATTAATGCTGTGCATAGTAGCAGCAAGTGTCATATCGCTGTTGTTTCTCATCATCATCTTTAGCAGCCTTGCAAATTTGCAGACTTTTTAAGACTTGTAATTGCCTCTTATCTCTGCTTATCACATTTTCTTATTAGGAGGGTTAACTGCCTCG